ATTAACAGTTTAGCTATTTATTAATTTACTAGCTATATAAGATCCTTTATAAGGCTAGCTATAAGGTTAAAATAAAGGTAATTAAACACTTAATAAAGTACTATTATTATTACTAGATTTATAAAAAGACTTCTTCTTAATTCTAATTTACCTTATATAATAACTATTTATTTAATTATAAAGTTATTATTAATATTATATACCTTAATAGTAACCTTATACTTTATGTTATTAATACTACTACTGCCTTTAACACAGCCTGCTTCCTTTATAATATTTTAGTAAAAACTATATAAGAGGCACTATATTACTACTAGATTAACGTCTACTAAGGACCTCTAGATTAGATTATTACTAACATAAGGCAGAACTTTATCTTAACTAAATTTTTATATAAAGCCTATATAATAGGCGTTAAAGTTAAGATTATCCTTATTAAAGCGTATTATAGCGTTAGGAAGGTTAAAAGATACTACACTATACTTTAATAGGTATATAAAATAATCTAAAAGGAATACCTATCTATTAACTATAAAGCAGCACTTTAAAGTGCTACTAAAGTAGTTAATAATACTACTAGCCTAAATAGCCTTATACCTACTTTATTAGTATTTAGCGCCTACCCCTATATAACTACTAACTTTACCCCTTTACTTAAAATAATCTAACGCGTAATAGCTATCTATAAGGTAACTAAAAATCTTTATAAATATAACATAATATAGTAAATTAATAAGGCTTTTACTACCTATAACAGCCTAAATACCTCTATAATAAAGGATCTGCCCTTAGGCAGTAATATCTATATCTAGCGTAAAAAAAGAGGTTAGTTTAGCCTATATAAGTTACTTACTACTTAAGGTAAAGACTTTAATATTAATATTAATAGCCCTTACGTTTTCTAATTTATATTAGTTAAGCTATACTATATAGTAAATAATAAAGAAAAAGGCTTAGCTAAGTAATATCCTCTATTTATCTTAAATAATAATAGTAGTTATAGTAATAAGCCTACTAAAGATACTATTATTATTATAACTAGTTTAGGGTAGTAGCTATACACTAATAATCCTACTATTACGTAACCTTAATAAGCTAAGAAAATCCCTATAAAATACACTCTACTATAAGAGACTAACGTATCTTATACTACCTTCCTTTTAGTAAAAAAAGAAGCCTATTAAACCCTTATAATCTAACTATATAAAAAAGGCGTTATTATAGCACCTAGTAAGCTATTTAAGTAATTAGTAGCTACTAAGATTAACAGCCTTATTATATAAGGCGTCTTTAAATTTACTATAATTAACTAACTTTAGCTATATAAGTAAATTTTTAAATTATAAATTATAAATAAAGTAAAAGGCACTAATAAGAAGCCCTATAAGAAATTACGCCTTATTATTTAAGACTACACTAATAATAATAAGGAGGCTATTCTTACTTAGTTACCTTCTATCTAGTAAGCTAGCTAGTAGCTTATCTTTACGCTAGCCTCTTCTCTTTTTATTAATAGTAAAGTTATATAGCTATATAATATTATATAGGCCTATATTTAATCTACTTCTTACCTTAACTATACTATCTACACTAAACTCCTAGCCTAAATCTATTATAAGTACCTTAATAATACTATTATAAAGGTTATTAAGCCTTTATATAGAATTACTAAGGTAGGTACATACTAGTAGGCTACTTATAACTATTACTATAAAAAGAATCTTTAGATAGTCTCTACTATATATAACCCCTACCTTCTTCTATTATTTAGTAAAAATCTATACTTTATACTTATTAGTATATAAATAAATAATACTATTAGCCTAATAGATCTTTTATTTTCTAACTAAAAGAATAAAAAACTAACTAAAGTAAAATTTACTATAAAAGATAAGTTATTCCTTACTATTAACTAACTACTTACCTTTAATAGTAAGATTATTATAGTTATATTTACTATAGACACTTTTATTACGCTTTACTAGAAAAAGTAAGAAGTAAAACTATAATTAATTAATATAAAGTTATTTATAGCCTACTAAGATTTTATCTAGTAATAGGCGTAAGGAGTATATATTACCTCTATTTACTAGCCTAAAGCATACTATAATCTTTCTATTACAGCCTAATATAAGAAGCTAAATAATAAGGTAATTAAAGACCTTAACTATTACCTATAATAGTAAATAAGCTTACTTAACTATAGTCTATAATTTATTTTCTTAAATCTTATATTAGCTAAGCTATTTATATTTATAAATAGATTATTTACTAATAATTATAATATAACTTTATAGTTAGGATTTATTATCCTTTTTATAAATAAGGAAGTTAATAATAACTAAGCTAAATTTCTCCTCTATAGTAATATCTTTTATTTCTTATCTATAAAGTCTAAATAAGTTACCTAAAGCGTCTTTATATCTAAAGTATATAAAATAGTTATAGGTATTAATATAGCTTACGCCCTCTCTATAACTATTATAATAATTATAAAAAAGCTTAATATCTTATTAATCCTAACTATTATATATATAGACTTATATTTACTTTATAAATACCTAGTTAAGCTAAAAACTATAAGGGAGAAGCGTCTAATAATTAATATTATATTACTAAGATAGTCTTATAAGTAATATAAGCTTTATAAAGTCTAATAGATTACTAGATTTAATAATCTAGCTAATAGATTTATAAAGGTATCTCTAAATTAAGTACTTAAGGGCCTAGTTATAAATAATAAAGCTAAGATATATATAAAAGGTTAGGTTATATAGGCGTAATAAATTATAATAAGTATATAATAAAAAATAAATTATAAGTTATATAACTAACTAGACTATAATAGTAGTAGTTAAATTTAACTAATATAAAAATATATCTCTAATAGCTATAGCTAAAAAGAAATACCTCTAAATAAGTTAGTATAAGCCTATACTATCTATAAGGAAAAATAAAGGATATAAGAATATATAGTATATAACTATAAGAAGTATAATACTTTTAGAGTTTTAATTTTTATTATATTTTTAAGGCTTTTAAGGGTAATCTAGATAGCTAGGGCACTAGTAACTTTTACTATAAAAGAAAAGTTACTAGTATTAGTATATAGTAAGTATACTTTAGGAGAGGTAGTTATATAATATTTATATAATATACTGCCTCTCTTAGTAGTATCTACCTTACTACTAGTATACTACCTAAAAGTCTAGATTTACTTTATAACTAACTAATATAATAAGTAACTATATTCTATATTATAATTTGTTATGTAATCTATAGGATATCCCTCTTATGTGATTTAACTAATATTTTAAACAACATATTAGTGTAGTAGTCTAGGGGTATATAGCGATTTTGCAGTGGTATAGATTTACACTACGTCGTATATACATTCTCACGTGTACATCAAACGTAGTAAAGGCACTATACAGGACTATTTCTATATTAGTCAAGGTGTTCAGTCCAGATTAAGTTTGATTGTACCTATTTCCAGTAGATGATACAATATATAAAAGGGAAGCTTGAATACTTCCGGTATACCTCTTCTAATGATGCAGATGCTGCCTTACGGACAGGTGCCCTTAGTGCTAGCAGTTTTGCGAGAGCTTCTTTGCCTTACATAACTTCTAACTACTGAACATGCATTATTGGTATTCTATAGAAGAATCTGGCTCCTTGATTTGGAGTGCCTTTGCATATAGATCGCTAGCATCTACTGACCGACTTTTAAAATGTATGTGCTGGTTAGGCTTCGTGACAGCATCAACCAAAACCTACGCCAACTACCGCCAACGTTAGTATTAAAGTGCGTAGACAAGGTTAAGTATAACAACAAGGGTATTGTATTAAAGGACGTAATACAGCAGCAATATCCTTGCATTGATTGATCGTTATGCTGTGTGTAACCTAATTGTTGCCATCGCCAATTGGGACTTGCTAAAGGGGCAAATGTTCGGAACATTGTTTTCCCCTTACTCAGGTGGGCAATTCTCCACTTCTCTCGGGCGCGCACGGCCACATTACCCACTTTGACAATTTCCGGCTATTCTCTCCACTTTCGCTTGGGTGCGCGCGGCCTAAGCGCTGCTCTATGTAGGTCCTAGCCGTGGTGCCGTGGAACAACTTTCTGCCGCATTATCTCATCCTTAGGCAGCCGTCATGCGCCTCAAATTCAACTTTCTCCTCTTTCACGATCTCTGTCTGCAACCCGTTCCACACCAGCGTGTTATCTCCCCTCTCATTTTGCCTTCACCTTCCGCGCCTTTTCGCGGACAGACTTGTCCTACGCGTCCCGATCAATTCATTACTCCTGATGTTGAGGCGACCTAGTATGCGAGTAGGACTGGGACCCCGTCGGAACCGTTCCTAAGCGGATCTGTCACCCGTCGCCCTGGTCATTCTACTGTTCGTTGAAGAGCCCCTGATGCATCACGAGTAAGGTGGGGATCTCACTGGACGCGTCTTGTCTGCGACAGTCGCGCGAAGGACTTGCTGCGAAAAGGAGGAAAGGACAACGCCATCACGACGGTAAGTACTAACCCCTCTCCTGGCTTCCACCGGCTACGTCCTCCACGTACGCGTCTAGGAGGTTGAACAGAAGCATATACAACATGCCGTCCGGCAAGCCAGACTTAGATGTCTCTGAAGTTGTTGCAGTGCGTGAAGATGAAGGACGAGAGCCCGAAATTATTCCTCAGCTATTTGGACTTCGTATCCGATGCTCGGCGCAGAAACAATTAGTACTTTTCCGTCTTAGTGTCTCCTTCACTGACAACGCCTCCAAAACCACGGTTCACCTACCCATTACAGCCGACTTCCTACTTTCGCTGCATCGAACGGATTATGACAACGCCAATGCCAATGCTCAAACCCCACCTTATCTCGAAGATGTCTGCAAACAACTAAAAGGCATGCGCTCGGTTACGCGCCTCCAGTTCCGGCTGCGCAGTGACAAACATATTCAGCTTGCCGTACCGCTAAAGTTTGATGTCGATCAGATTCTCGACGACACGGCCCGTTGCACATTTGAGTCTGCCGAATCGCTCGCAACCGCCTCGGGGTTCTCCCTATATTTTCAGCACAACGTTTTGAACAATGAGAGCGTGGAAAAGTACCGGAAGGCCATTTCCATCTCTCAGACGGAAGACTTGGGGCAGCTGTATGCGGACATGCGGAATGTGAAAAGGCTATATGGCGGTGGTGGCAAAGTACACGAACCCCGTGGCCGTCGTCATGGCTCTCCGCCCACGAGAGACCGCCGCAGTTCCCCTGCTTCAGCCACGACGGCGTCGTGCGGTAGCACCCTTCCCTTTGAGACTGTTCCGCGTGACGAACAAGAGTCGCCGCCGCCGTATGATTGTCTGAGTGAGGGACAGTCACCGGGGGTTAGTTCCGACGCCGCAGCCGCAGGCATTCTCGCCAAAAGCCCCCGTGCCGGCCTTGCTCCACCGGACTACTGTGATACCGAACGCTGGCACGACGTCCTGGGCCCCTTCCAGCGCGGCTGCTGCGGAAGCGAAGATACCGACATGCACTTGATTGCCAGTGCCAAAAGAAAACGTCCACTTACCGCCTTTCGACAAGAAAAGGTATGGCGATCTCTACTCGGCGACAAGAGCCATGTCGGGAATCTCGAACTGCAAAGCCGAGATATCGAGTTGCAACGCCAAGATATCGAGTTGCAACGTCAACAGATCGAGGTGCAACACCAAGAAATCAAGTTGCAACGTCAACAGATCGAGTTGCAACGTCAACAGATCGAGTTGCAACGGCAAGAAATCGGACAGCTACAAAATAATGTAGAGGAACTGCGGAGGCAGGTTAAAAGTCTTGAGGAACGAGATGAGGCGCTGGAAGAAGACTGTTCAAATTTGAAAGAGCGTGGAGACCAAACTGATATTGACATCGACGATCTATCTACTGATATATTAAACCTGGGTGACAAATGTGAGGAGGCCGTAGAAAAAATCGCAGATGTTCGTGAGGAGTTCGAGGGCTTAAAGGGAGCTATGGAAGGCAAATGCGGGTCATTCATGGACAGAGTGACGGAGGACATGGAAGAGCGCGTTGTGGCTCACATGAACGAAATGAAAGAGAGGCTTCGCCAAGCCCTGCAATAGACATGAGCCAACGATAAGATTAAATCAAAGTAAAAGCGAAGCCCTCCGACTGGGGGCTGTTACTGTCTGACGACTAATCTACCACTTGCTTGTACATCAGTAATATCCGTACATGAACTGGTGATCCTGCTACCACTGCCTATCAGCCAAACAACCAGTCGCGCCTACTGCCCTGTCGCAAGGCAGGTAAAGGAGTCAAGGTGCACTCGCAAAAGGATTTAATAGACAATAAGCGCGCTAGGTGCCCCTTTGGTCTAGAGGGCTTAGTGTATTGGTCAGGTTTGGTCTGGAGGGAATAACGCTGATCAGTGTCGGCCTCTGCATACTGGAGGTTGATATTTCCCGCCTGCCCCTAAGGGTACCTAAACTCAGCGTGCGATGCGCCTAACTTGGTCACAGGCATTTGCTGATAGCTGACCGTAAAAGCTCGCCGTGCCGCAAAGTTTGCTGACGAATAATTGTTCAAACAGTAAAAGGATTTCGCCGATTATGCTGATAAATCTCACTGCCATGGAGCTGGAAATAAGGCGAAGAAAGTAAAGAAAACCACATTAGCCCTTGTTCTGATTGATCCCTTACGGCCCTCCATAGCGCTAAAACATCTGTGGTATCGATGAGCTGCACCGCAAGCGCATGGCTGTGTCTCTCACCAACATCAGCCCGGTTTCCCACTCTATAGGCCTGTTGCTAACAAACATCACTGTATTTTAGCAAACAAGCGCCCTTTGCTACTCAAAAAGTAATCCTAAACTCGTCTTGATACCTCCAGTATCCTAGCTGCTAACGTCACCCTGTTGTAAGACAGCTTCTCCTAAGCTCTTGACGCCGGCCTGGTTCTTCCATAATGTCTCTGATGTTAACCGCATGGCTAATCTCACAATATGCATTCTCGAACATGACTGTGTTGACAGCTGGCACCTACCCTCACAAGAGATCAAGTCAAGCCCCGCTATTGGACGGTTACCACACCGTCAATTCCATGGAATTAGCGCAACTACATGGGGAATGGGATTGCACGGGTAATATAACGACTGTCGCAAAGAGAAAGCAGGAGTAAAGGGTTCAGTTGGCGACGGTGATGGTAATGAAGACGGCACGAAGCCGTTGGCCGAGCTTTATTGTGTCGGTAGAACGGCCGTATGGGGAGAAAGCATTCCTTATACAGATCAGCCGCGTATTAAGCTGGTAAGTCAAGAAGAAGCTACCGGTCGACGTGATGGCAAAAGGGTCAATGGAAAACGAACTCAGGGGCCGAAGTCGAGATCTTGGAGGCTGAGAGGGGGTGAAGAAGGAAGTTCTGTTTGACATCTGCTTGATCCCTGGCGACAGGTAGCAAGGTGTGTCAACATAAGGGCCCACTAACTAATAACTTTAGGCATTGGAATTGGTTTTGGCATTTGGCTTAACGATAATATATCCCCTGAAGCGGATGAGTGGCTTGCACCCTGGTCTGGTCTGAAATACTGGAGAAAGCTAGAGTTGATTATGGTCTTGGTCATCCATCATCACGGCCATGCTTAATGAAGGCAAGTCAAGGCCGATGACGCTCATGGTTTTGATGGAGTGGAGAACTAGATGGACAAAGCCGCTTTCAAAGATGACGTTTGTCGCCAACGACATTATGTATTTCACTATGTTAAGGTTCTTGACTAACATGTACATGAGCGGCTTGACGTACATGGACTTGCCGAACCTGACAGACACTCTCGTGCTATCGATTAGCTCCTCTCCTGACTTTATCTTCTTAAAGATATCTAGGGCATCAGGTCTATACCTGCTAACCTTGTTGTTAGTATACGGTAGGTATGCTTTAGGGGAGGTAGTCACGTGATATTTACGTAACACACTGCCTCCCTTAGTAGTATCCACCTTACTACTAGTATACTACCTAAAAGTCTAGATTCACTTTATAACTAACTAATATAACAAGTAACTACTATATTCTATATTATAATTTGTTACGTAATCTATAGGATATCCCTCTTATGTGATTTAACTAACACTAATTAGTATATAATTAATTACTAGATTACTACTATAATAGATTAGTAAGGTTTTTTATATAGAGTAGAGAGGATTAGCAGCCTATTAGTATAAATTCTCTACTAACTTAACTATTATTATTATTATTATAACTTTTTTTACTTTCTTACTTTATCTTAACTAAATCTATATTAATAATAAGTAGAAAAAAAAAAAGTAAAAAGCTACTACTAGTAATAGTAGGGCTATTAAGTTAATAAATAATAAATATCTATTCCTCTTTACGTCCTCTACTATTACTATCCTACCTCTTGTAACCTCTCCCTCTTCTACCTGCCTTTATCTACTATATTAATCTAATAACATAAGGTAACTATATTAACTTTAATCTTAATAAGTTAGACCTTTAAAAAGTTAGATTATATATAATATATATAATTACTATATAGTTAGATACTAACCTCTATAGCTGCTGCCTCCTTACTGCCTTTTAGTTAGATTTTATAAATTAGACTACTACTACCTTTAACGCTATAGGTACTAAGGCACTATTAATATTTTATAATTACCTTATTAATAATAAAGTCTTTATTAATCTAGTAAAAAAAAGGATTACACCTAAATTAGTAGACCTTCTTAATACTAATTTCTATATATAGACTAAAAAAGATATTACTTTTACTTACTATAAACAGCCTATTTTTAACTTATAAATAAAGAACCTTAAATTTATTAATAATATTACTAGTTAGTATATCTTACCTAAAGAAAAGTTAATAATTAAATAGGCCTTATTTACTACTTTTTTAATATTATTATAAATAGTAGCTAATATTACTTTATAGAGATAACTAACCTTATTTACCTTAACTTATTTATTAGTAGTAGATTATTACTAGCTAAAGTAAGAGTAAGAAGGCCTAACTTTACTCTTATAATAAAATAAAATCTACTAGGCACTTACTAACTTAAACTTAGTACTTAGAGGTAATATAAGCACTTTATTTATTAACACCCTGTTATATAATCTAAGAACCTCTTACCTTACTTATTACCTTACTTCTTACCCTGCTTATTACCTTACTTATTAATCTTATTATAGCTAGTATAGTAAGTAATTAGGTAGTTAGCCTATTATAATAAATAGAATAAATCCTTACTAAGATATACTATTTAACTTATTAAGTAACTATAAGCCTACTACTAACCTACTACCTTAAAGCACTATATAAAGATTTTAGTTATAGGGCTATAATAAATTATAATAACGTTAGCTACTATATAAGCCTAACTTTATTTTTATTTTTTCCTTATAACCTTACTTACGTTAGCTAACTAACCTTATAAAGCTACTAACTAATAAAATAAAGTATAGTAGTAAGCTATATAACGTTCTTAATCTAAAGTTAAGTATCTTTTAGGATAATTATAGTAAGGTTAGGATTAAGTAACACTAGCTTAGCCCTACCTTCTTAATTATACTAAAAGGTAAGGTATCTTAGTTCTATATTAATTATATCTATAGTAATAGTATCTATAATCTTAATAAGATAGTTAACTAAATTTATAACTACTTTAAGATATAAGAATAAATATAGACTTACTTATCTAAATAGTAAGAAATAACACTTCCTTAAGTTATATATAATAATCTTATAATAACTAAGATCTAAGCCTTTAAGGAGCTTATCTTAAAGCTAGCCCTTATCTAATAGGCTTTCCCCTTATTATACTAAAATAATAAGGTGTTAAGAAGTTAGTTACTAAATACCTACTCTAGGGTTCCTAAGTGTAACCTTTACTTATACGCTTTAGCTATAATATTAGAAGGAGTATATAGCTAATTATAGTTATTTATTAGTACTACTATAAGGCGCCTTTACTATAGCTAATACCTTACTAAATCCTTACCCTTATTACCTAATAATTAATATTAGGTAGACTATACCTACTAAGGCTAAGGCTGTTATTAATAGTTTAGTAATAGCTATAGTAGTAATAATTTTTATAATAGTAATAATAATAATAGTAGCTATAATACTAAAAAGTGCTATATTTACTATAAGCCTAGCTACTAGTTAATAAAGTATACTACTAATAAAAGACATAAAGCGTACTAGTAATTTAAAAGTAACTATTATATTAAAAATACCTTACTAACTATATATAACACCTTTCTTACTAGCTATAAAGGCACTTATCTATAAGAAGAAGAAGATAAAAATAGTAATAATAATAAAGATCTTTAGTAGTATTTTTAAGGGGCCTACTTTATTATTAGTAATAATAAAGAATAAGGTAATAGTATATTTTACACCTTAACTATATTCTTTAGAAGCACTAAAGTAGATAGTAAGGTACTTACTACTAGCCTTACTAACTAGGCTATTTATTACTAATTAATAAGAATTAACCTTAATAGTGCCTTTACTAAGTTACCTAGCACCTTTATATTAGATTATTACTTATTAGGTACCTTTTAAGGTATTTTACTAGATATAAGTATAGTAAGTTATTTAACTATAGGCTATTTATAAGCTATTACACTATAGTAGATCTAGCTATCTATAACTATTAACACTATAGTAGTAAGTAAGGTAAAGATTAGATTTAGTAGTAGTAATACTATTACTTTATAAGGCACTATTATAGTAAAGACTTCCTTTAGGTATATTACCTTCTATATAATGCCTACTAATACGCCTTTTCTACTTTACTTAGGTAATATAAATTAGCTCTTAATTTATTTTAATAACCTTATAAATACTCTTTACTAAGGTAAAGTTATAGTGCTAGTTATATAAAAATAAGGCTACTTATAGATACTACTTAGCCTACTTAAATAGAGCCTTATAAGTTACTACCTAACTAACGTTAAGCTATACTACCTCTATTAATAATTTAGGCACCTATTAATTTACTAGCTATATAAGATACTTTATAAAGGTAGCTATAAAGTTAAAATAAGGGTAATTAAACACTTAATAAAGTACTATTATTATTACTAGATCTATAGGAAGGCTTCTTCTTAATTCTAATTTACCTTATATAATAACTATTTATTTAATTATAAAGTTATTATTAATATTATATACCTTAATAGTAACCTTATACTTTATATTATTAATACTATAACTACTTTTAATATAGCCTACTTCTTTTATAATATTTTAGTAAAAACTATATAGAAGGCACTTTATTACTACTAGATTAACGTCTACTAAGGGCCTCTAGATTAGATTATTACTAATATAAGATAGAACTTTATCTTAACTAAATTTTTATATAAAGCCTATATAATAAGCGTTAAGGTTAAGATTATACCTATTAAAGCCTATTATAGCGTTAGGAAGGTTAAGAGATACTATACTATACTTTAATAAATATATAAAATAATTTATAAAAAGTGCTTATTTATTAACTATAAATCTATACTTTAGAGCGTAGCTAAAGTAATTAATAATACTACTAGCTTAAATAGCCTTATGCCTACCCTACTAGTATTTAGCGCCTACCCCTATATAACTACTAACTTTACTTCTTTACTTAAGATAATCTAACGTATAATAGCTATCTATAAGGTAACTAAAAATCTTTATAAATATAACGTAATATAGTAAATTAATAAGGCTGTTACTACTTATAATAGCCTAGATACCTCTATAATAAAGGATCTACCCTTAGGTAGTAACGTCTATATCTAGTGTAAAAAAAGAGGTTAGTCTAGCCTATATAAGTTACTTACTACTTAAGGTAAAGACTTTACTATTAATATTAATAGTCCTTATGTTTTTTAATTTATATTAGTTAAGCTATACTAAGTAGTAAATAATAAAGAAGAAGGCTTAGCTAAGTAATATCCTTAATTTATTCTAGATAATAATAGTAGTTATAGTAATAAACCTACTAAAGATACTATTATTATTATAACTAACTTAAGGTAGTAGCTATATACTAATAATCTTACTATTATATAACCTTAATAAGCTAAGAAAATTCTTATAAAATACACTTTACTATAAGAGACTAATATACCTTATACTACCTTCTTCTTAGTAAAAGAAGAAGCCTATTAAACCTTTATAATCTAAATATATAAAAAGGGCGTTATTATAGTACCTAGTAAGCTATTTAAGTAATTAGTAGCTACTAAGATTAATAGCCTTATTATATAAGGCGTCTTTAAATTTACTATTATTAACTAACTTTAGCTATATAAGTAAATTTTTAAATTATAAATTATAAATAAGGTAAAGGGCACTTATAAGAAGCCTTATAAGAAATTACGCCTTATTATTTAAGGCTATACTAATAATAGTAAGGAGGCTATTCTTACTTAGTTACTTACTATTTAGTAAGCTAGCTAGTAGCTTATCCTTATACTAGCCTTTTCCTTTCTTATTAATAGTAAAGTTATATAGCTATATAATATTATATAGGCCTATATTTAATCTACTTCCTACCTTAACTATACTATTTATACTAAACTTCTAGCCTAAATTTATTATAAGTACCTTAATAATACTATTATAAAGGTTATTAAGCCTTTATATAAGATTACTAAGGTAGGTATATACTAGTAGGCTACTTATAACTATTACTATAAGGAGAATCTCTAGATAGTCTTTACTATATATAACCCCTACTTTCTCCTGTTATCTAGTAGAAATCTATACTTTATACTTATTAGTATATAAATAAATAATACTATTAGCCTAATAGACCTTCTATTTTCTAACTAAGAGAATAAAGAACTAACTAAAGTAAAATTTACTATAAAAGATAAGTTATTTCTTACTATTAACTAACTACTTACTTTTAATAGTAAGATTATTATAGTTATATTTACTATAGATACTTTTATTATACTTTACTAGAAAAAGTAAAAAGTAAAACTATAATTAATTAATATAAAGTTACTTATAGCCTACTAAGATTTTATTTAGTAATAGGCATAAGGAGTATATATTACCTTTATTTACTAGCCTAAAGCATACTATAATCTTTTTATTATAGCTTAATATAAAAAACTAAATAATAAAGTAATTAAAGACCTTAACTATTACTTATAATAGTAAATAAGCTTACTTAACTATAGTCTATAATTTATTTTCTTAAATCTTATATTAGCTAAGCTATTTATATTTATAAATAGATTATTTACTAATAATTATAATATAACTTTATAGTTAGGATTTATTATCCTCTTTATAAATAAGGAAGTTAATAATAACTAAGCTAAATTTCTTTTTTATAGTAATATTTTTTATTTCTTATTTATAAAGTCTAAATAAGTTACCTAAAGCGTCCTTATATCTAAAGTGTATAAGATAGTTATAAGTATTAATATAGCTTATACCTTATCTATAACTATTATAATAATTATAAAAAAGCTTAATATTTTATTAATCTTAACTATTATATATATAGACTTATATTTACTTTATAAATACCTAGTTAAGCTAGAAACTATAAAAAAGAAGTGTTTTATAATTAATATTATATTACTAAGATAGTCTTATAAGTAATATAAGCTTTATAAAGTCTAATAAATTACTAAATCTAATAATCTAGCTAATAGATTTATAAAAGTATCCTTAAATTAAGCACTTAAGGGCCTAGTTATAAATAATAAAGCTAAGATATATATAAAGGGTTAGGTTATATAAGTATAATAAATTATAATAAGTATATAGTAAAAAATAAATTATAAGTTATATAACTAACTAGACTATAATAATAGTAGTTAAATCTAACTAATATAAGAATATACTTTTAATAGCTATAGCTAAAAAGAAACACCCTTAAATAAGTTAGTATAAGCCTATACTATTTATAAGAAAAAATAAAAAATATAAGAATATATAGTATATAACTATAAGAAGTATAATACTTTTAGAGTTTTAATTTTTATTATATTTTTAAGGCTTTTAAGGGTAATCTAGATAGCTAGGGCACTAGTAACTTTTACTATAAAAGAAAAGTTACTAGTGTTAGTATATAGTAAGTATACTTTAGGGGAGGTAGTTATATAATATTTATATAATATACTACCTCCCTTAGTAGTATCTACCTTACTACTAGTATACTACCTAAAAGTCTAGATTTACTTTATAACTAACTAATATAATAAGTAACTACTATATTCTATATTATAATTTGTTATATAATCTATAGGATATCCCTCTTATGTGATTTAACTAACACTTGTGATTAGATTCTTAATTATAATGCTCTTCCCAGGAAGCGTGTTCTTCTTTACTTTCCGTCCTGGTTGCCATGTACAGATTGTAAACACTAAATGGACGGGTGAATTGCCGACCTGGGCGTGGCGTGGAGTTTGCGTGTGGTTGAGGCAGCATCTACTTTTTGACGTTGATTTGGCTGTGATGACTGCCAAAATGTAGATACCGTCTTGCTGGCCCGGTTCCCACCCCGGCAAGCAAGCAGGGAGGAGTTAGTCACACATGCATTTGTGTCAATGGGCCGCTTTCAGGATCAACTGTCTCAAAAGCTCCACGCTGAACTAATGACACGACCCTTTCTCTCTGCAGCTGGTCATTATTTCGAGGGCCCGCCTGAAACCTACCACCAACCCGTTATATTTTCATGGCCGAACCGACAGAATAGGTCATCAAATCATACAGGGTGTTGTTTGTGAACCAGGCGGGCAAGTCGGAATCCTATGCCGCCGAATAAGCCATGCTAGGGTGTTGCAAAAAAGGGACCCAGACAACGCCACGAGGAAGCATGACTTGGCCTGCAAAGGCTGACCAACACAACAGGCGTTACATTGGGTGATGGGTGTGGTTTCGGCCCAAGAGATGTAGATTTTGAAGGCGCTGCCGGGATGCACAAGCAAGCACTCCGACTCGCGCTGATGCCCATTCTTCAACCGTCATCAACCGAAGGCATCACGAGCACGTGGTCGCAAAACCACGGCCAATAAACTTCGGCAGACCACCAAGCGAGGTACTGCAGGGCGCGAACGACGCAATAAGTTCTAAGAAGATACTGCGTGGATCCAATTGACAGCCTCGTCCACAAGATCTATCAACATTATTTTGCATTAGCATCCCAGCAGCCGACCAAGGAGAGCATTGCACTTACCGTCTTATCGTCTTGCCGCGTGGATGCCACAAAGTACCATTCCGCTCCCTGGACATTCAATCCCGGCAGAAAGCCGAGGGCGTCAAGGTCCGCCGGGCCATGCACGACGCGGTCAAGGAACGTCCAGTGCGCTGTGTGCCAGGTCCCAATCTGCAACGTCGCCGCCTCAAAGCCTTCGCTTCTCTTAGACTCGATGCTCAAGGCAATCGGGTTGTCCAACAGAAAGTCGTAGTCAGTTGCGTTAACAGCTCCTGTGCGGGACCTTTTTCGAAGGTCTTGGATGTGCTGCTTCAGCGGAGATCCCGGCGGGGCGTCGTTTTCCGTGTCGATGAAGATGGCGTAGTCGATCATCTTGGCCCCGCCTCCCTTGAGAAGGCTACGGTGCACGGTGGCTGATGTCCTGCGGCAATGACAGCGGTTAGCCTCGCAGAACTGATTGTCATGTCCGGTACGGTCACAGCAGAAAGGACGAGAGCAAGTAAGGGGATACGTACGCCACAGCAAAATTGACCAATCCACCTTGCATTGAATTGCGCTTGTGACGGAGGGCAAGGCGAAGCACCTCGCCGTGGACCTCGGCATTCCATATGGCCTTAGAGGCGCGTTTACGTATGCATTTGTGGGTGGCGTGTACGACTTGGCGGAAGTCGTTGACATGGTGCACCGGGCCGACACGCTGTGCCTCGGTCGCTTCGGCGTAGAATATGGCGTCGGTTATTGTGTAGGTCTCGGGGCCGCGTATGATTGCCTTGATCTCTTCCTGTTGGGTCATCCCTCGAGACGTCAACGGTGCTGGAACAAAAAGCAAGGGACTCGATGCGGTATCCGTACCTTGTGGGATTCAGGGACAACGCTCTGGGAGATGGAGAAACGGAAGAGCTGGTTCCGCGTCGCCTGAAGGGAACCGGGTAGGGCAAGCTCGACGGCGGGGTCTTGGTCGTTGAAGAGGGCAAACTCGAGGTTGGGGGCTTGCGAGAGCTTGAGGGCGCCAAACTGTTTTGTCGCCGGTCGGGCAGACCGCTGAGAGGCGGAACTGCTGCTCACGCTGCTTCCATTAGATATCGAGTCGCCGGGCGCGAAGGGGGGCTGCCAAGGGGTTGCATCCTCGTCAACCCTGCGAGGCCGCTTGCGTGGTGTACTGATATCATTATTTATGTTGGGATCTGGACGTGTATCAAGACCTGCAGAAGACGGTAGGGGCGTCAGGCTGGGGCCGTGGGCGACGCGGCCCCGTTTGGTAGGATTGTTGTCGTCTGTCGCCTGGTTGGCGAATCCATCCGAGGGACCACCTTTGCGCGATTGTCATCGGAGATAGAAGGAATCAACAGGTTGAGGGTTAGTAGGAAGCGTCAGGAGCCCTTAGTATGCGCTACAGCTATGGTCTAATAAGGTATAGTGCGCTTAGGCATAATGATAAACACGCCACCTTCCGGGTTCAAGTCCAGGAGGGTATCAAGTCTTCTAACAGAAGTATTATTTACTTTTCCCGTCGGATCATCCTCAAGGATGAGGACAGAATCGTAGCGTAAGTCACGCAAAGAAGATAGGGTCGCAGGAACAACGTTACCTCAAACCCAGACCTGCGGCAGGAGACTCTCTACGCATTATGTAGGGGGGTTGACGACGGGCTCCTCCAGAGACATGTATAGGCAAGGCTTTTTGACAGGGCGCTTTTCCAGTTAGGTCTAGGCCTAGAGGGAATTACCTCTCTTTCGTGGCTCAGTAACAGGTTTCTGCTGGCTAATTTGAGCTAGGGAATGTTACTTAGCTCTAGACGGCTTCTAGCCATCAGCCAAGAACTTCGGTGTCGTCAACAGTGGCGCCAAGGTAGCTAGAGTCGTCGATACTGCCATCTATCTCGGCATGTAGTCCATACCTGTCACAAAACAATCGGACAATAGAACAATCCTGCTGCCTAGGCAGAGCTAGAGACTCACGTTGGTGATACCCTGGTTGGGTAGGTAGCTCTGCTTGACAGGTGCGTTGGGCTTCACGGATACCACGGAAAAACGGGCCTGACGGATTCTGTCTTTATTGTAGCTAGACGAAGAGGTATTGAATATTTGGAAGCTGCCAGGAGGGGTTGGGTTGGCCTGTACTTGTGTTGGACGAGATGACCCTCCTTGGTAGGTGCGTCGGGATTGACGGGTTCTATCTCTGGCGTTGCTGTATGAGGCATCGAAGACTTGGAGAGGGGCTGGCTTGTATGAGGCCCCATCGAATTTTGTCGTGAGTTGATCAAGGGTGGCTTGTAACGGGAGACAATTGTGACATGACCGGTGATAATGCCAGTACATTGGCTGACGCCTGGTCTACGCTTTTTGGAAGAGCGGCGGCGACTGACTGCTTGGCGAACTGCATTCCACGTTACCTTCTAGCATGGATAAGCGTGGGCAAGCTTGGGCAGGGCTTCAAAAAAGGGCTGACTGTGACGTGCGGCGCAGAGGGAAAAGACGCAGACGGAAGCTGAGATACCCCAAATGCTACACATGGCCTTCAGCTGGGCGTTGCAGACGGCCGAAGCTCGACAAGCGGGGGTGACACGTTGAGGGTTGCAGCCAAGGACGATGGAACTGATGACGGCAGCTGGAGGGTGTGCTTGAAGGTCAAGGAGATCACCGAGACTGCTGAGATCTTGTTTGAGTTGAAAGAAGCGGTTCGCAAGGTCTTTTTGGCAGGAGTCAGATGGCCGTAGTAGGGGTCGATGAAGGTGGCGATCGCGTTGTCGACCTTGTCCATGAGAGCCGAGTGGTTTGTTGAGTTCGTGATGGTGGATTCGGTTGTTTTGGTGGATTTGGATGCGACTGGTGGACAACACCTTGGCTATCTGTGGCGAATACATCACCAAGACGATAGATGTAGTCGGTGAACAGGTGCTGTGGCGTGTTTTTGCGGCCTAGGACTTCGGTACTAAGGTACTTATCGATTTACACCAATAGCTGCCGTCAAATCTAGGAAGTTAGGTACATAACCGGGCAGGGCAGGTACGTGTCTTACACCCTTGGCAGCCTTCCCTCTTGCCTCAAGTTATCAACTCGGCAAAAAAAGGAAAGAAAGAAAGAAAGAAACAAAAGGGGGGCCAGCAACCCACAGCAGCCCACCTGTTCTTCCTTCCTCTGGCTGTCGTCCCATATTCTGTCTGTCCATTGTCCTTGAATCAAAAGACAACAAACTGCGTCGTCAACTTGCCCATCGCAATGAATCCAGCCAGGCTGGCACAAGGCTAGACAGACCTGGCTTCTGTCAACAAAGCAATTGATGCGAGGCCCTCAATGAGGAAAGCATGCGTTCAGTCATTGACAGTATCAAAGAGACACGGAACTTGGTCAGGGGATCCTTGGACTGGCAGCTGACGAAATGTTGGCCGAGTGACTCAAGGCTATGGAGAAGCAGTTGAACAGGCATGCATCCGCGCACTTACTTGTCGACGCCGCTGATGACCTGGACCAGGCCATGTCATAAGGTGATGGATGCAATTCGCACACTACACATTTCCATCCTGCATTCAACAGCTGACAATTCTATCCTGGCAGTAGCGCACAAGACCCTGACTCCGACAAGACCATTTCACCCCACCCATGGCGCAAACGACCTGTAGTGTGGTGAGGCGGAGCGCCGGAGCGTTGGCGACGAACTAGCTATAATGGCTCTGTTGAACCTGCTGCCAAGGTTGATCAGCGAGAAGATTGTTGACCCCCGCATTGATCCCGTCACCAAAGAGCACATGTACATGGCGAATAGAAGAGTTGGATGGTGAAAGAGCCTTGTAGAAAAGGGGAATGAAGGGGCGGCACATTACAAAATGCAGTTCCCTAATAAAGACCTGGGTGCGTATGAGCCCGGACTTATTACGTGTTACTGTATCCGTATTCCCAAGCAATACATGTAATTGGCTCTACCGCACCCTTAGCGAAGGTGGGGCTTTGATGGTACAGCACCTGATGGGATACGCATGGGTACATCATTTCGATGGATTCTTTGAAAGCCTTGGAAATTCGGCTCCGGCGCCGGGCGTAAAAATTGCGTGTGTGTACTACCGAAAAAGCTAGAGACTCGGAATCTCGGAGAGCGGAACAGCAGTCCGGGACATGTGACTTCGCGATTGTCGCCAGGGGTGTTCGCGACGCGCTTGTGCACTGGCACGTGAGGTCTATTGCTGAGTCATCATACAGGCACCGACCCCCCCCTAGCGACCGATTCAGAATGGCCTGTGCGCTTTTCCACAGCAACGCTACCCTGTGCCCGCCTGTCATCGCTTTGTTGATTTGCTCCCAATGCGATTTCGAGCGCGATATCCTCCGTAACCAATATCGACTTCACCTTCCCAAACCATCGAGTCATATCAAAACGTCAGCCTCTGGTGTGTCTCGAATGGCATCGCACGAGCGTATCCTCTCCTGGATCTCGCAACTTCCGAAAACTCCTACTGCCCCGCCGTACCCCGATCGCAACCTCGCCAACCCGCGAAAACGTAAATTCTCTCGGGACGGACAAGTCCCACATCACCGCCTCCACTCGCCCCCAACGAGCACGAAATCACCATCGAAGGAACGGCACAGTCTCATGGATGATGTCAATTACTCCGGCCAGGAGGATGCGCGCGCCCATCGCGATGGAACACCCCCAAGCCCGAACCCGAAGCGACCCCGCGTCAATGATGCCGAAGTCGATGCCGACACAACACCAAGGGGACCTCGCACACTGCCCGGAAGGACAAGAATCACACAATACGCCACAGGGGCATTGAATTCAGACGCAGGCAGTATCTCAGCCTCCTCTCCCTCCGCCAACAGCGACACCGCTTTATTGTACCGATCATCTTCAGCCAAGGGCAGCAGCAGCAAGAAGAGACCACGGCAATCGAGCCCGCGGAAGCAGACGATGCTGATGGTGATGGAAGATGCTGTTGAGATCATGAGTTTTGGAGGTCTTGCCGATCCTCCAGAGAAGCTCGACGACCTGGCCACTCGCATCGATGAGCTGGCCAAGGGCAAAGGCATTCTGTCCAAATCAGTGCAGGTAAGTCCATCTCGGTTTCACCGTGCGCCACCATCTCATGTCCTCAACTAAGACATTACCCGCTCTCAGGGATCAATTCGAGAAGCACAAGAACAGAACCGTCGTTGGTTCAGATGGGTTGAGGACGTGTCCTTTGCCGAGGCCAGTGCGACAATCACCGGCGCGTCTACACTCAGCATGGTATCATTCATTAAACGCACACGAGACGAGCTGGGTCCAACGCCATCTCTACACGATGCCAGATTGATATGGTCCAACGCGGAGGACTGTTATCGGTTCCAGCACTTTGAAAGCCAATGGAACTGTGCCGTCCATTATCAGATCCTCGAAGCGGCTTTCCAGGCTTCTCCACAACTAGGATTTTGCGGCGTGTGAGTTTTGCCAATTCCCACACGAGCCTCCAACCTTCTGACAGTCCACAGCACGGGAGTACAAATTCACCCCGATTACACTCGAAGCGGCAGGGTGTCACACCACAACAAGAAGGTCGACTTCTGCATCTTCCTCAAACAGGATTCCCCAGAGCTCAAAGCCGCCGCGCTGCAATCGTCTATCAAGTCTCTCAACCAAACTGACTACCCTGCGCTCCTTACTCGACCCATCTTCTTCTCTATTGAGACTAAGACTCCGGGAGATAAGTGGGCCGAGGCAGTGAACCAGATCACGGCTTGGCTGGTTGCGCAATGGGACGTCCTTGATGACCAGGTCTTCCGGGCACAAGGCGCTGACGTTGTGGCCGCCGATACTTCCGGCGCGGCCGGTCGCAAGCCCTCGGCCGCAGCTGCCTCCGGGCTCGTCTTCCTTCCCGGCATCATCGTTCAAGGCCACGAATGGTATTTTGTTGCGGTCACAAGAGCGGCGGACGGGCGGACGCAGCGTTGGGAAAAGACATTGATCGGCACTACGGAGAGGATTGACGGGGTCTACAAAATCACGGCCGTCTTGCAGCTTCTCGGATGCTGGGCTCAAAACGAGTACTGGCCCTGGTTCCAACGTGCCGTTCTCCGCTAAACAGGCCATGGTGATGACGGCCTGGTTGTTGTTGACCTGCCCCGAGTGTCCTGAATCGAGACGGGCCTGTGGACGAGGCATTGTTTGTTGTAACATGGTGACAGGACTTGTCTCTGTGTGGGTGGGCCTAAAGGAAGTCTTCCCTATAGGTTCCACCTGAAACTTGGGTCAGGCTCTACCACGCAAATGGCAATTAAAGATACAAATGGATGCCGAGCATGGAGACCATCCCTATCCAAGGGGACGGACGGTAATTACGTCGGTAGGAGACCGGCGTACTAGGTGCATATACATAGAAGAGTATACGAGCTTAAGAAATGAAATGACTTGATGACATCTATTCTATTACTTTCTGCCATCTGCTCCACTGGCAACTCAATGAAGAATTCGAGAGTGTCGCAGTCCTTGGAGTAGTATTAGTAAACCATCGCGCGATGCCGCAAGGCTGCTCGTCGCCACTGGCGACCCGACATGCCTGGCAAAGAGGCTAGACGATCGTTGGGGCGCGCCAAGCTCACTTGGTCTCGACGTTGGCATTCGGCTCAATGCTTGTAGATTCTGCGGATCGTGACGGTGTTTTCGAGTACGTCGGTCTTGCTGCGATAATTAACTTAGACATAGCTGTACCCTTGACAAAATCCGAAGGTGCTATTCTCACCTTGTCACCCAGTAAACAAGCAGAGGCACGCGTATTAGCCTGTTTGGGATAACGACGTAGTAGTTAGGACGAAGGCGAGGCATCCTATTAACTGTCACAAGACGCTATATTCGCCAAGGGAGGAGTACCGCTAATTAGGAATTTAATGCCTACAACTTCCAACTAATCATATAGTAAGATTAACAATACATCTATTTGTTAGAGACTGGGTATGCCAGAGGTACTAACAATCGTTATCGATACATAACGTTGCATCACAATCTAAGCAGCTCTTCCGTGTGTATTTTGCCTTCTGTCTCTGGGTGCGACTATCGCCAGATACTTAGCCAGAGCATCCCGCCTTGTTAACACACTTAGACTACTAAAATAGCAGCAATGCGAATTTACCCTTCTTGATCCCTTTCAATGCTGTTGCTATGGAATTGAGGTATTTCTCTTCTTTGTAGCCCGCCCGGGACAGGATCTCTGGTGAGCTTTTGCCAATGGCCCGAAACGCTCAATTAGCTGAGCTGCAAGCAACCGGCGTCATTAATATATTGATTCTTAACAATTTGAACTATTTATAATAACTACTTTAAGCAAGAAATCCCTGGCAATTGCCTGTCAGCCCTCTCGGCAAATAACAGGCCACGATGGCTTCGCATAACGTCTTCGCTATTACGAAAGACAGTTGGGAGAAAGAGAACAACAGCATTGTGTTTCCATGTGAAATGGTTGACCTAGGCAAAGGTATTATTGAAGAGGTACCAAAAAAAGATAGCAACTAGATACCTTGCCATCCTACGTAGGGATACTATGTGCTTGGTATCAGAGCACTGGGTTGTACTAAGTAAAGGAGTCAATAGTAAGGACCTAGGGTGTAGTGCCGACTTACTATTCCCTGCCCCCCTGAACTCACCTTGCCACGACTGATACTTCATCCCCTCCAAGCAGCCCGGACAGCCATGGCGACTTCGAACACTATCTATCACCAACGCTTTATCTATTATGGAGCCCTGCTCACTTGCTTCTGTGGGGAAGCAAAAGATGTAGATCATCTGGTTTTCTACCCAAAGACCTTGACCATGAGGCAACGGTGGCCTGACCTTTACCCTCCCGTTCTGCAAGAGCCCATAGGACCTATGGGACTCCTTAAGCGGTACTTCAAGGGGCTGATTACCTATCATCAAGGCTTCCAGGTCTTCCCCGGTGTGACAGACTTCTTCCAGATGATCTGCGTGCGGTACAAGAGAACCAGTAGGAACTAGGGACGGACGACACAGAAAGCAGCTTACGAGCAAGACTTGGAGGGCGTTAGGAGAGATGTGGACTTAGAGTATACAGGCTAGGCCTACGGCGCTCCACGCCGCATACCACTCAGGAGGTCTGCTGCAAGGACTACTACGCCCTTGCTGCCTTGGCGTTAAATACACAACAAACAAACAGACAAACAAACAAACTCGTGATCTATCTAGACGCCACCGCCAGTCGTCGGAACTTCGCCAGCTGACATCCCCGTGACTAGACAATTCCATGCGTCGTAACTGATGTCGTACGCTGCTTTACGTCCGATTCCAACCCAATTGCCATTGACACGAAAACCGCCGGCAAGACAGAACCCTCTTCCCAGCCAGATTCGCATGCTACTTCCAGAACCGTCATCCTCAGGCAACAGTTCAATACGCCCGATCGGATCTCAGTCACCATCAGCGTCATCGCCGTCTTCGAAAAAGGGGCTCTCCAGAGCAGGACTCTATCATACACTCAACCATATTTCCCTTACGCCAAGGAGAGGCCGAGGAGACACGGGGGCATGTGATAGAGGCAGCCTTTGGAAGAAGACTAAACGCTCAAGCATACCTCCGTGGATCCCCAACCAACTTCGAATGCAACCCCGGGTGCTACACCGCATAGACCACAGATATAGATGTTGGCCAAGGATTCCTAATCAATACAAACTTTAAATTCTTGTCTGAGAACAACCAGCCTACCACAATCCATACAGAACGCTTACCGGTTCGTGTCTCTATACCGAAACTATCTCAACATCACCGCAGCAGAGAGTTGCATAATACAGTTGATACCTACTAAGGCAAAAGGAGATAGAGAAGATAATATAAGATGCAGATGGAGGCTATATTCAGAAGAGTTTGGACTTAATAAACCCTACCTGATATTTACTAGTTTTGCGATTGATAATACTAAAGAAAACGAAAGCGTTTCACGAAAGCATGCATGATGATTCTACACTCGAGATCAATTTCCGTAGAGCATGTTGCCAACAATAGGCGCCTAACCAGGTAGGCCAGTTCTCATGGGCTGAGTTTGAGCTATTATACTTGAGGGTGACGGACCAAATCCCTGAGTTAGACAGAGAGCACTTCTTATGTGTTCAATGTTTCCCTAGAGAGCCTGCAGCGACCTGTACCAGACGCAATTAATACAAGAACTCCTTACGGCAAGCCAAATTTTCATACGCCTGCCATGTGAACAACATGTCGTTAGGCTACGTCCATCGTTTTCCTGATACCCTAAAGCCTGTCGCCACTAGAATAGCGTCTTATTGGAGTTTATACACTATTTGGCTGGATGGCAAAGCTTACTGCTGACGTGGAGAAGTCAACGAGTGGCCGATATCGCAAATACAAGAGGAGCCATATCACCGTTTTCCCAAACGATGTCAAAGGCGTTGCAGCGGATGTATTACCTCACCCACTTATCGAGGAGCCGGAGCGGCTTCATCTCTGTTTGTAGGTCCCCAGATACCGGCGCCCTCTGATCTTAGCTTTATGTTATAGGTAAACCCGCAGAAGCTCAAGCGTGGTGTTGTGTGGCTTCGTGTGAATAATCCATTATACCGACATGTTGAAATTGTTAAGACCCAACTCGTTGGGCTCCTGGTCGGCGTGACGATATAGTGCAGAACAGGGGATAATGATGGCGCATCATTACTAACGGTTTTGCTTGCTGGTGCTGTTGGTTGCCCTGATCTGCTCGTAGCAACAAGCCACTGAACTTACTGAGAAAGTAGGCTTCCTCTGCAAAGGACTATTTGAAGAGGTTTAATACTGAAACCTACATTAAATCTTTCACGCAACAGTGTCTAAGAACACTATATCCTGGAGCCACATCGTCTCCCGGGCAGAAGGAAAAGCTAGTCTGTTGGGAGCTAAGCAATACGACTCCAAGACCAGACAGCATTACGGTAGTCACGTTCAAAGCGACGGATCCACCCCTGGTACGCATAATATTGCCCCAGAAGATAAGTCAGAAACGTAACGAGTACGAAATCGAATAGAGAACACCTTCGGCCCTGCCGTTCAATCATCCAGCCTCTCACTACGTATTAACACCGTCGACTCATCGACCGCTCTTTAGCCTTACGCATACGCCCACCCCAGCCAGGAATCTCCGCCAGTATTCGAAGCGCAACCGCATCAGCGCTCAGAGAAGCGGTCGGGATTTCAGCCTCCTATTCTATCGGCGGACCGTGGTTACCCTCGCTCCCTGGCACAGATTACCCAATACCCTCTATGTGGGTCACGCCGGCCTTAGGTTCACCCTGTCGAGTCATGCCTTTCGGGTCGTCGCCGATGAAGCGTTATGGCGTTCTGTGTTTGGGTTTCTGAAATAGAGGTAAACACTGGTAGTCATGAGAGATGGCAACAGGGAAGACAGGACGGGATGCCGGTCAGAGGAAATAACATGGAGACTGTTCCTGTTAAGCTTTATGCGTATCAGAAGCATATGATGGAGCTGCTTGGGTTAAACAAATGCTTATACTTGAAGTTTGAAGTCGTCTTGTTCTACCTATAGGGCTACGGACGAGGACGGGAATATATTACAGATTTCTGCCTCCATCAGAAACATTCTGAGTGGTTATTACAGTTTCCTAAGGCTAATGGATAAAATGAGCGCCTTCTACTGTAGGGTCCATACCGTTGTATGGAATCTGTATCAATTTGTAAGACTTATATAGGTATATAGTTGAAGTAGTACATAGATTTTAAAGAGCTTTGCTCATCTATATCTTCACTTTACGCAGCAACTTGACTGTTGATAGATTGTTTCACCGTTCCAAACATGTTCTTCTCAAGCCAACTCTCGCTGTATTCTTTCATCATATTTCCCGAGCTATCTTTCATCAAGTCTTCCATGTCATTACGAATTTCTGGCATATGTTTCCTATGGCTTATGGTTCTTGAACAACTCATCAGTCTCGATAGCATAGAAGAACAGAGACCCAAAAGTGTCCTCGCTTTCGACTTGACGACTCCCTCAGTCGTAGTAGTTTTCCTCTAGCTCATCAAGCCATCCCCTGAGCCTTCTATTTAGTCTTTGAAGTCCTTGACATTCTCTTGCAACTTTTCATCCGCTTGGCACTGCTGCTCATTCAGGAACTTCAACGGGCTTTCAGAGCAGTTCGGATTTGCAAGATAGTATTGCGACCGTATTTCTGTGTACTAGGCGTTTTTTCTTCTTTCTTTTTATAAATATCATCGTTATGCAACTAGTAGCACATGGATATTTTCTTTTAATTGACGGTAGATTGATCTCCTGGCTACCGCAGTGCCACACGCGTTTAGTGGCTTTCAACACACTGTGCTGCTTTTTGGAATCGCCGTCCTCCGGGGAGCGGGGATGAGGGGGCATATTCATTACCAAGACTTTTGGCAAAGATGGCTGTAGAGGATGTCCCCCACTCAGGGATTTGTCGTACCGTGGAGATGAATCTTGGTAGCACGGGGGAGTGTTAAAGGGAACGGTGGTAACGTACGACTCGGCTATAGCTAGCATAGTAGACCTTACGTAATCTCTATTTAGTAGAGGACTACCGTTTTAGGCTTTAGTGTAAACTCCATGCCACTTTTCTTATTATACAGCTTGCTTAGACCCGCAATGTACTTATACTCGTCGCGCTACGCTTCCGTTAGAGTCAGAAACTACTAAACAGCCTAAGAGAAAGTTCAAATAATTAGCATTATTAAGACGTTATGCGTTACGTAATATATAGGAAGTACAGCGAAGCGGCCTTAAGGGAGGTAACGCTGTTAAATATACGCCGCGCTGGGATGTCAAGGGGGTCAGTTGTAATCTACAGATAAAAGACAGCTTTGGTGGATGTGCCTTCTGTGCTCATCCGAGTACAGGCTGGTGTTAACAAGACAGAGCTCTTTAAGGCCTAAATACTTAGCTGCGATTCAATCATCAAAAGAAGTGTCGTTAAATCCTTCTATGTTCATCTTTTAGATGCTAGGAGTAGCCTTAAGAAAACAAAAAAGCATATTAAGGCAAAGTCTCCCCTCAGTCCGGAGATATTTGATGCTGAAGATTCTCACATTAGGCAATGAGCCTGGCTGGGGATCTTTGAAGTAAAGATCGTCGCAGCTAACGAAGAGACCCAAGTGGACGTCAGTGAATCTCAGCAGCTAAGAAAGAAAGCCCTCATGGCAATGGTTTGACTTTGTTGAATGACCACACATTTAGGTAAATAATCTTAATATTAGTGAAGGACTTTGTGTTGTTCTTGAATCTTTGATAGATTGCGGTCTATTCCTGTTTACTGGTGTCCGCTTTGAGAACTTGCAGTGGTTAACACTCCCTAAGGGTGTCCTACTAACAGTCATCAGTGAAAAGCTTCTGTAGTATCAACTTGCAAGCATACATCGGTCGTCTTGTTTCCTAGTGGTGTGTCCATTACAACCATAAACAGACTGTAGCGGCGGCAGTGGCCGGGTCAGCTCAGTCTTTTTTTCGTTTCTTTCTTTCCCGCCACCAGGAGCAGTGTCCTTAGGTAGATGTAGAGTCAATTTATTTAACAGGTGCGTGCGTATGTGGTGTTGGTGGGGTGGAGAAACAACAACCAAGACGTGTCAAACTTGAACCACTTTGCTGTTCCCTGCAAGAATCCTGTGATAGAGATGTAGTGACTCACCTCGATGATCAACATGGACCGCCTTCCACCTGTGCTATTACAATACCTACGGCATTGCATAGCCAGGAACCCCACAGATCAAGGAATAACAATCGGCCATGCACTCTGACACGTCACGTCAGTCACGTCGCATCAATACTGGGGGGGACTTGCAAACAAGACGAGTCCCTCGGGAGCACACGGACGATGAGGCCGCGGAGTTGCTGCCATGCCATCATATTCGAGAATTTGGGTGCCCATTTTGGCCCATTGACCCTACAAGGACTCAACCGACCGGTCGTTTCGCCCGCGCGTTGAGTGTGTCAAGATGCCCTACCGCTTGACACACATTAGGGTCGTGGCAAACAATTTCCTCGCGTCCAGCCGCTGCTCACACACTTATTTTCCGCACAAGGGGGGGGTGGGGGGGAGAACAGCACCGCCCCAAGGCAGAGAAAGTCCCTAGTAGAACAGATAGATAGCCCACCTACCTGCTAGCTCTACGCCCTTGGGGAACAATAAGTCTTTCTAGGCATAGTGTTGCCCATCTTGTAAAACATCCTTTTGCTAGTAACTTTGATGGACTAATCGAACCATCGTCCAAAACAATAGTCATAATCAACAGACCCGCCAACTCACCCACACTCAGGACTTGGAATGCATCACCAACCAGCCAAGCCCTTCTGAAATGGACATAATCACTTCCTGTCTCTTGACCTCTTCCTCCAGTCCACAAGTCTGCGGCTCTAGATCCCCCAAAGTCCTCTCGGCCTCCCTTACTTTGGCTTGTTCTTGAATGCGAGCATCTCGGACGTCTGCCAGTGACAGCCTCTCTTGGCTGCGGTTACGCCCCTCCATGTCCACCCGAGCTGTGTTAGCTCTGAGGATGACCTGGTCCCAGACATGATCTTCAATGTCTTTGCCACCTTCCAGACTACCGGCGTCGCGCATAAACTGGGTTAGAACGGCCTCCTTCTCCTGGTTCTTGAGGTCTCTGAGTCTAGTTTTTGACTGTAACAGTGCCTCTGAGAGTTGTTTCTTTTCCTCGTTGTGCTGATGGAGCCGAACGGCTGCGTCCCCAATATTCGACTCCCCCACCAATTTCACGTACTTTTGCCAGCTTGTATCCAGACCTTGTAATACAAACGACTCATTTCCGGGACCTAGACCAGTACTGCGAGCCCATGGCCGTTTATGACCCGAACGCTTGCTTAGTACACTAGAGCTTTGGTGCCTGCTGGACGTAAGAGTTGGCAGGCGGTGGTATTGTTTGCGAACGATGTGGTAAGATGACGACATATGCCGAAGTTTGAGTGCCGTCAACTTTGTTTTTTGACTGAATGCTGGCTTGAAAGAGGAGTCAATGTTCTGCATTGCGTTTTTAGTGGGGACCAGTGACTCCAGATCGAGTGGTGCTGCGTCTTGGTTGTGGCCCAAGAAGTGGGAGAAGACTTGTATCATGGTGTCGACCGAGACGGACAGCTCTAAATGCTCCCGTTCCAAAACAAGTCTGGCTATTGTCCAGATCACATGGTAGCCACACGAAAACCCATCTGCTTGTTGCTTGCATTCCTAGCAAATGTTGTTAGCACACCCAATCTTTGATATGGGGGGTGGGAAGACAAGACTCACGCTCTTAGTGAAGGCAAGATCTGACAGAGTTTCGGCACAAGATGGGACTGGCCCCGAGTCTTGGTCCACTGCCTTGGTTGCGAGTCCCATATGTGACAGCAGCTTGCAAATGTGCCTTTGCACCCGCTGACTGGCTCCAGCGTTAGACAAGGAGTCGTAATGTCTGGCTTCCAGGCGATCGTCGTCTGCCTTCCTGGACAAGACAACAAGTGACCAGTGAGACTGGTCGCGGCACAAGGGTAAGAAAATGAATCTCGACTTCCGGAACTGGGGATAACATGCAGATAGCCATGGAGGGATTGGTTGCCCATCAAGCTTGACCCACAGTGGGTCGACAAAGAAACTGTCTTGTCGGGCAGACTCTGACGTGGCGATGGCGTAGATGAGGGCCAGAAGAACGTCGTCGGTAAGTTTGGAACGCGTGTTGAGTTGTTCCGAGGCTTTCAGTAGGGTAGCCTCCGAAGGTGGCCGTGGAATCCTGGGACAAAGTCGCGATGTGCTTGAACCCTGACCTTATGTTGGGTTCAGTGGCGTGATAATCAACGGATGGTCAGTTGATGGAGGAGACAAGTTGTCAGTAACGACGAAAGGCTTTGTTGTGCACGGGATCTGTGGTAATAGCTCAGTGTCGTCACTAGTGTAATTTGACAGAATCGTGTTAGCCTCATCTACCTCCAAGCCATGGTCGCCAAGGGTTAGATCCTGGGCTTCAAGCAGGGGACTGGTTGAAATGTGCGCAAATTCGGCGGGTGATGGAGGTAAACCTTTGAGGTTGTCTGGAGAAGGTGTGCCACGGACCTGCTCTGGGGAATCGGTCGCTTGAAAGTGAAGCTTCCTTCTCTTGAAGGCAAAAGAGCTATTCAGCTCAGCGAAATCATCTTCATCAGCTGTCGCCAAGGCTTCTTGGTCGTCGTCGGAATCGCCATCAGTGTTTACACCCAGTGACGCGCCCATCATGTCTCTGTCACCCCATCATGTCTCTGTCACCGTCCACTCCCTGGTGGACGTCTGCGCCATCGTCGGATGCGACTGGGTCCTCGTCATTATGGGGTTGCTTCCGTTTGCCGAGACCGAGACAAGTATATAGGTCATTCAAAACAGCTTCGCAGAGCCTGGGTTCTGCATGGTCTTGACGTTGGACGGCGTCGTACAGCCAGCCACCGGGCTGCCAAAGAGTGGGCAAATGGTTTCCTTTGGATTTAGCGAGTCTCGTGATCTTGACCAACCGAGAAAGACTGTTGTGACCAAGATTACCGAGGTCATCATGGAGTCTTGCTGGCCTGAATGGCTGCGGGAACGCTGCATCAAGTGACTCCTAATCATCAATGAGCTCTTGACGGTGCTTGTTTGGCAACTTTTGATCTCTCATGTTCTTCTTGGCGATGTGGCGTATAAATCGCAATCTCGGCAGTTGTATGTCAAGTCCGCGAGCTATTATCTCGCGTCCAGCCTCGTTGAGTGGTGTTGATACTCGGTCAAAGGTAGTCTTGATAGCGCTTCTCGTACGCAGATCGAGCTCGGTGTGTAGTTGCCGCGGAGGAGGATGGATATCGACAATTTTATTGAAGATATGCTTGACCTGTGTTGGAGAGATTAGCTTGATGCTGTCGCGAGCGGTAATATTGAGTTACGCCAATTGAGGATAATTATAAAGCCGTGCACGACGGGGTATCCAGGGGAAAGGAAAGCTGGGGACATACTGAAGTTTTGGTCTCGGCATGCCGTACGTCCATCTGCCAAAGTTATATGCGGGAAGGGTAGCGGTACTCTTTGCACTTGGCAAGACGCGGATGTGGGTGGGTTGAATGAAGCTGTAGATGGGAAGAAGAAGTGGTGATAGATTGGCGAGGTACGAGGCAGGTAATTTACCTACGGTATCTGTACAGGTAGGTACCGCTGAGATGGGGGAGACAAACAGCTGCTAATTGGGCAGGCAGGCTTTGGTTAGGAGATGTGGTGGTACCTGCCGATCTTAGATTTTAGAGACCTCCCCCCCCCCCCCCCCCCACACTAAAGAATCTCCAGCGCCTAGTCTGACACGCCTGGAGCGTCTAAGAAGAGGGCATCGCTGGCATGACCAACGGGTGCTGCCACACTTCTCTGTCGAGTACAGGGGCGTCAAGCAAATTAATGATCGCAGCTTTTACAAGTCAACATATCTATCATTTTGTTTGTATCACTACCCCACTGGCCTTAACCAAGCCTAGCTTGGCGTGGAACTCCGACACCCTCCCGTGGATAGACGACCTTGTTGCGCCTCACTGCGCCGCACAAACTACTGGTCGCTCACAGATCTTGGCACATGAGCGAGGAATTGGGCAACAAAGGGAGGGTAAGTAATTGCAATGACATGGATTTTAATTGATCTGGGTGGGTGGGCGCGCCCACTATGCCGAATGGTGATGGCGATCTGGATGTGGTTGTGGCGGGTTACGGTCGCAATATTGAAATTCTACGGTGTTAATAACGGCACTCAGACAAACCTGGACCCGAGGGCTAGGGGTAGCACTGTCTGCCGCCGCAAGGCTTTGTGTAGCTGATCTGAGAATCTTGGCCTAGAGAATGCACAGAAGTTGACCGTTCGGAAGCCTTACCAACTCTTTGCTGTACTGAGGATCATGTCAGCGAACAAGTTGTGGGGGGGTGCGTTCAGCCGGCGGGGGTGGATTTCTAGCACCTGACAGGTAGCAGGAGTGAGGTCTGAGTACCTGGCAGGAGTGAGGTTTGAGCACCTTGCAGCTGGCAGGAGTGAGGTTTAAGTGCCTGACAGCCGGCGGGTGCTACATTCGCCAGCTGCACCTTTATTAATAACCTGGTCGGAGATGCATGCATGGGAAGGAAGCATTGTTTCTGGTAGAGAAAAGATGCCGACCGTGTCTGTTTGCTCTTCCACTCACTTACCCTATCACACATGGCCATCCTGTTTATGAAATCTTGACCTACACATTCCTACGCCAAACCAGACGGATATCTGCTACCCGACTTACTCGGACATCGCTCGCATGCATAATACCATGCATATGTCACGGGCTTGGCAACAGGGGCTGACACGTCAATCTGCGCTCACACCCAAACACTCACCCCCGCCGTCACGCAATGGTTACCACTCTAGGACGTTTCCAACTCCAACGCAGCCGGTTGATATCGCGGCCAGTCCACCCACCAACACCACCACTACACACTCCCATTCCCTTAGCGAAACTGACCCCCGAGCACTTACGGCCGTACACTCTCACAGCCTGTCCGGTCATGGTGCCTTGGGCCGTGCCGCGCCGTGCCGCGCCGCACTCTTGCCCTCTGCCTGCTATCGATGTGTCTTGGGAGGAGTGGGGCCGTCATGCAGGTGGTTGTCTCGCAGACGATAGTTGTCTCTTCAGGTATTTTAGTTGGATGCTGACCACCCTTTTCTTAATGGTGCGTACTTTCTGCAACGAACCGTTTTACCCTGCTGTGGAAGCGCCGTCCTCTTGACAAACACCTCTTACTTTCTACTAGCGTGCATCTTTGGGCTCCAATGTGGGCAGTTTACTTGCTCTGCGTCATGGGTAACGACTGGCAGGGTCCTGACTTGCCCCCCCCCGAGGACGGCTCTTACATGCTGCCCTGTTCTGTATCGGTATTTTGGGATGAGGTCTTAGGCCGAGAGATGAAAAGACACAAGTGGAAAAGCAATCCCCTGTCTAGCTTTGTCCTGCCTGTTCTCTAAATACTCCCTGTCTTCCTCTTCTAGCTAACCCCTTACATTTATCTCAGATCATCTCTCCTTAGTGCCGACTACAGCACTTTCGTGTTGCTTTTGGCTTTTTCACCCACATCTCTCTATTACAGCCGCTACAAAAGCCTAACGCAATGGACCAAAACCCGGCTCCGTTGCTTCAGACGCCGGAGCAATGGCCCCTTTTGTCAGAATTGGATACGTCCTTCTCCTCTGCCTACTTCGCCGCCGACGACCTACAGGCATACGCCATACAAAACCGCACCACCATCATGCCCGAGCCCTACTGTCCGCAGCCCACAGCAGACCTCATGTTTCTTGACATGACGATTCCGGGCCCTGATGCCAGTCTTGGTCTCGGCCTTGGATGGTCCATGGACCTTGTTGATGATGACTTGAGCATCTTGGCATGCTACGGCGGCTCGGGCCAAGAGAATCCCCGCCTTGATCCCCGGACCGGGAGGGAGGTTCCAGGGCCACCTAATTTCCTGCTCCTCGCCGATCGCGCCGTCGTCTCAAAATCCGCCGACAGCCACACGGCCGTCGGTATCCTCGCACAGGATAGAATGTCGGCCAAGCCAACAGACAAGTTCGTTTCAGTTGGAGTCGAAGATTCCCAGAGCACCACTCGAAGCCTGTCAAACCCGCAAGAAAAGACCGGCAGCACACACACAGAATCCAACAACATGGCTCACCCATCTAAGCCTCCCCCGCCGCTTTTTAACGCCATTAGTTGGCTGAACACGGGCAAGGCATCTGCCGCGCACGTCCAAGCACGAGCCATTCAGGATGACGGCCCTCCTCTAGTTGACGGAGGACTGCTGGAGCACCCTAAAAAGAAGCATCGGCAGTACTCCGCTACCCCTAGCGCTCCCCCATCTTCCGGGAACGCGAGCAGCTCCGTCCCTTCGGCCTCGGTCGCACGCCTCTCTCGCCGGCCCCATCAAGCGGCTCCTTTTATTTCGTCACAGGGTCGGCTACCTTTATCCAGGGTACCATCCGTCGTCGCGGTGCCCAAAGCGCGGCGGGGCAACGTTACCTGTACGAGTGCAGAACAACAGAAACACAGGCGATGGGGATATGCAGCGGGGAGCAGGGGGAATGAGAAAGCAAAAAGAGCTTCCATTGCTGTTAGTGAGTATCAGATGCACGTCATGAACCTGATTGAGTTCATCAAGAGGGAGCGGCTCAAATGATGGATTTGCCCCGTTCAAGGAACAGGAGGAGGCAGAGCTCGGGGATGTTCCTACTGGCCGTAAGTATCTAAGAAATAAAACGATGAGCTAATGAGCCAGGAGACGAAGGGCAGAGATAAAGAGAGAGAGAAGCAAAGAGTGTTTATAGTGCTGTAGTTGGATGCATGATGATCTAATAT